AAAAGATTTCAATCAAGCGCATAATGGCTCGTGGTTCAAAGCATGCTACCCATTACACAGAATGCAGCAGTATGCAAACGCTCCACTGACACAAGCCACTTTCAACTTTATCAATTACATTGTAGTAATCCACAAATTAAACTTCTCGGGTAACATCATACGGTAGAAAGTATGCACCTAGTGTTTGAAGTGCGCACAAGGGACGGGATATCACTATCATGTTAAGCTCCTTAAGGTGCAGCTTAAGGGTCCCTTAACTTTTTAAACAAAGGCATCAACTAAAGTTCACTGGCGTAACCTTGAAGAACAATGCAGATTGTGAATAGGGCCCAACAGATTTAAAGGACCGTTTACTTCAGGATGTGTCTAGTGACAGCAGGCATGTGTTGGTGTCCGCAGAGGTATTATTTAACTGAATTAACTAGTAACTGAAAAAAAATGTTCTAACTGCTAAACAAGGTTCATTAGTCAACTGAGGCAGCACAGTGCTGCAAAGGCAGCACAGTGCTGCAAAGGGAGTCCTTGGGGCAAAATGAAAGTTGGAAGGTAAATAGTGTACCCTGTCTCTGCTGCAAGATCTCTGCAGAAATCTGAGGTAGCTCCAAACCAACCCCTATGACTCATTGCGGAGTACATCATGATTGTATTATTTGGCTATTAAATGCTAGAATTCAGGTGGGAAGGGCAGCATTTAGCATTCTTGATAACTGGGCTTAACCATATCGATCCACGACGATGCATACTTTTAAACAAGAATCTATAATATGCCTGGTCTTTAGTGATGGGCTACTGCTAGTGAATCTATTACACACAACTGCAGAAGCACTTGCCCAATGATGGTTCGCTAACGCATTTGTTTTTTGTTAAAAAAATTTTTCTCCTGATGGAAGCAGTGATTTGGTATTCTATTGAATGATGCAGACCAAGAATTCCTTCTCACGAAATTTCAGTAAATACCAAGCAGCACTTCGAGCAAGGTTTGTGCACGAGGTTGGCACCATACAAACTCGGGTTAACTGCTTAAGACCTTGCCTGCTGGTGAAAACAATTTACTCTGTCCACAGCATTGGTTATGTAAGTGGTCGGAGCCAACACTGGATTTCCCTCCTCTCTATTTTCGTTCAAGCCTCAGAATCCTTCCTCTACAATAGCTTGTACAGTACGGTCCACTCTTGCAGGGACCACGGCAACGCGTGGCTGGCGGCCCGTGTGGCGCAAACTGGCGGTGAGGTTGGTAAACGCTGCGCATGCGCATAGATGCAAAAGGGTGGGGCTCGCCGCTTTTCGTCTGCTACTTCCCGCTCCGGAGCTTGCCGTGTGCTGGATACAGCGTTCGCATTTCCCCACTCTCCCTGCCCCTCCTCGGGTAATCAGCGTGCAGAAAAAATGTGCCTGTCCGTTGTTGTTGTGCTTTCTCGGCAGCTTTGTTGCAATTCCATTCATGGCCTAGCAGCCGATTTTAGATTACAGGCGAAATGCAAAGAAAAGCCATGTGCTTTTAGTATTTAGAAGTATGTTAAGAAAACTCACGTTTGACAATACTTCAATGTATGCCACTACGGCGTGACACCGAATTATATAATTGTTGTGTATTGCAATACGCAGGTAATGTTAGTTCTAACTCGCGTTCCATTTCGTTTTCTTCATTGAAGCGAAAAACTCCTTATTTCGAATATGCGATAGCGTTCACTTTTTCAAAAATCATTACATTTCACCAATACGTGCGCTGAAAAATGGTGTATCTAGAACACTATGGAGTAAACAAAAAAAATTAATTTCTCAAACTTAGACAGGTTGAGTGAGGTCAGATCTGTTGCCTCGAAACATATGAATAATTCAAAGGTAATGAAACACATCTAAGCCCTGTGAAACACACACTAAAATGTAAATCTGTGTAAGCAAAATAGGATTATGCGTGACAGAACTTGGCAATGACAAAAAATACATTCGTAATGCCGATGATTACGCTAGTAATGAGAAAGTGGCCATTTCGCGATGGCAATGAAATCACGCTGGCTGTATTCTTTGGTGTACAGCTCAACTATTCGAAGCCTTTCTCCTCAGGGTACTCTAGCCATGCCGCTTCTAAGAACTAGCTCTGCCGAAAATGAATGTGATCAGCGAATAAATACGCCCCCAGCTGTGGAAGTCTGTGAAAGCAATAACGAAGCGCATCACTCGCGTAGCTTAATGTTTGTGCTCACCAAAAATGTAATCGTAAGCTTTTCAAAAAAAAGCCGTTCGAACCAGCCAGTTGCTTTTAATAACAGACATGGAAATTGATGGTCGATGAAGTGCGCACAGCAAGCTTGTCGCTAGCACTGCGCCGAGTGTAGGGCGGGGTGGTAGCAGACGATGCAAGCAAGTAGGGCCCTTGCGATTCTGCGCTCATGCTCCGCGTTTCCAAATCTCGCCAGCAGTTGGCGCGCCGCAGACCGCCGGCTACGAGCTCGCGTGTTCCCTCTAACAGTGGACCGTACTGTACATGGTTTTCGCCTTTAAGACTGCCTAGTCTGTTGCGGCATTTTATCGGTTAGGATGCTCGGCTGCTGACCCGCCCGTGCATTTCGGTGGAGGTGAAATGCTAGAGTCTCATGGACTGTGAGATGTTAGTGCACATTAAAGAACCCCGGGTGGTAGAAATTTCCGGAGCCCTCCACGACAGCATCTTACATAATCATATTGTGGTTTTAAGATGTTAAGCCCCAGGACTACCTATCATCATGTTTTAAGCACAGATTAGTGCATGTTTAAAAGATTTAATTGCTTTCTCTCAGTACCATGCCACTGCTATTCGCCCATTCAACACCGTTTGATCCCATGAAGAACATTGTCGAAGTTTGCCCCTACTATCATTTATTACGTACTGCAGAGAGTAACACAAGCATGGAATCCTCATATTATTAGGGCCCACATCACCTTGAGTATCACCACATCACCTTGAGGCCACTGAATTTACCTGACCTTTATCATCAACCTGTCAAATAACAGGGAAAAAATAAATTTACAACTGGGTAGCGAACCCGAGCTATTATTTACGGGAAGCTCATTGCACAAGCTAAGTGAATGTTATCCTCATTTGGTTAAAGTGAAGAGGCGACATTTTACTCTTCTACGTCCTAAATCTAAAGTGCACCATGTGTTCTGCATGATAATGGTGTCATTCCACTAGACATGCTTTTCAGTTGGCAGTCACAATAAACATAGTTTTGCAAGATTGTTTTTTTTTTTTTTTTGACACTGTTTGCATTTGTAGCACAGTGCATAAACAGTGCGCTGCAGCTGGAAATTGTGTCACTGAAGACCTGCATAATGTTCTTTGAACAAAAGCACGAAATCACTGTGTGGTGGTGATGACGATATTGGTGCCACCTGAGAAGCTTTCTTAGGAACATTGCAGGTCCTCTTTAAGAGGAAAATTTGCACTCCACGGTAGCGCATCCTCCCTACTCCATATTTTCTTGCCCTGTCAGTTTAGGCATTGTAGTACCAGTAAAATGTCTTTCTGTCTTGTGCCTTGTCGCGCACATACGTAAAAAATGTGAAGACATCCTTTTCAGTTCTTTGCCCCATGGCTTGAACATGCATTTAGCTACGAACTCTCATCCCTTCAATCCCTTCTACGCAAACTTTCATTTCCGTTCAGGCTGCTTGTTATCTTTATATGCATAGCTGCGTAATGGGGAAGCGTTGAATGTTTTGTCAAAAGTCTAGACAAATTCATTGTTTTTTACAACTGGAAATGCCACAAAAAAATTCTGTGTTCTTAACATTGGCTTGGCAAGAATTTTTTTCTCAGTGTGCCATAAACATCTGAAAGGAAGCACAGTAAGTGTACAATTGGAATATAAGAAAACATTAATATCACATCTTTCTTACATGCATTATGATTGACTGTGTACAAGTTTGTCGAATTTCTGCAACCCTATTCAGTGGCACTCAGTATTTCATAGCATGAAAGAGAATGTAGTAATACGTTGATTTGTGCATTTTACAGCAATTGTAAGTGGTATATAAATATTTGCCCTGATGACAGTCATGTTCTGTTTTTGCTATAAATAAAATGAAATCCCAGGCTCAGTTTTTTTTTTGGTTATTTGTTTTCAGTTATATTCATTCCAGTTTAAACAAAAATTAGCTGTGGTGTGGCTCTCAGAATGCAGAACACCGAACAACTCCCTGAACATGGTAGTGAATTCAAGGAAAGTGTCCTCTGTAACAATACATAGCACCATTTTGCTCAGGAACCATATACAAATGTGTACACTGTTTTTCAACCCAGTAAAAGTTGCGTGTGGTGTGATGAGTCTCTGTACCTGATATGTACAGTTCCTATTGAAGGGGGCATAAATGTGCAGAAGTATGCACGCAAAAACAATACAGAATTCACTGAACTAAATCAGACTTTATGGCACAAAAGTAGTTGTCAGTGGGTAGATATGATAGTTAACGATGGCAACATCATTGTGCAAGGCATTTTATTAATTAACAATGTTGTTTATGCCTGAAGCTTTTCATAAATAATTACTTTACTATTGAATCTGGGTTCACGTCATTGTAAGTGTACAAACTAGGTAGTGCAGTTCAGCGTGCCTGAATTGTGTGTGGCTATATGCCTTACTGTAGGCCGAAGTATAGAGTTAACTCATGGAGGGGCTGTAATCGCTTAGACGAGCGAGTCAGTATCAAGTGAAGCAGATTCTGTGTTGGCAGATTGAGCCTTTATTTTGCAAACCATAAGGTTGTTGCAATTGAAAAGTCCTTTTTGGTGCGTAGGAAGCGTATCCTCATGAGGATTTCGGTGTTGTCTTCCCTATGGTTATTCAGCCTAGACTTTCTTTGATTAATGTTTAGGAAAGTAGCATTTTCTAGCGATCTGTTTGTGAAAGATGAATAGTTTGGCTTACTCAACCAATAAAAGCTAGAGAATGAACTCTTGATGAGTAGGTGCCAGCAGATGTGGCAGTAATGAAGGAGCTGACGAGACGTAACCATCGCAGACGCGTGCCTGCACAACTCTGAGAACAAACGCAAGAGTGACGAGCAGCTGGAGAACAGCACGGCCAAGACCAAGCGGCTGGAGAACCGGCAGAAATGCTCCGACCTGATAGTGCTGGGCCTACCCTGGAAGACCTCGGAGCAGGACTTGCGCCAGTACTTCGAGACGTTTGGGGAAGTCCTTATGGCACAGGTAAGGTCGTTTTCATTGGCAACTGGCTTGCAACGAGAAATGAAGACGGGTGCACTCGTAATGTGGCCCCGTGGGTGCTGCAAGGGTATGATTCACACAGCACCTATTTGCACATGGAGTCATTTTGTATTTTTCTTTTTCCCCCATCTCTGACTCTTTCTGTTGTAATATTACTCCAAGTTGCATGTCGTGGCTGGGAGTTTATGTCAGAGCAGATGTCACTTCTGCATTTTCGTAGTTCCAGTGTCAAAAAAATGTTCTGACCTCAAGCACTAGTGGTGCGTCGTAGCCACTGTTTCCAGAAATGTGTACCCACTCGAAAATAAATGCGCTTGCCGAGTCTCCTGAATCTTCAGTAGGGTTTGCAAGTTTGATAGTAATTGCAAATGCTCAGGCCACAAAGCGCAAAAGCTTCTAAATTTGCATGACAATGCCCAAGCTAACACTGGAGTTCAGGTGGCATGCACATCTGCACTCTACCATGACACAAATATTCATTTTCCGCCTAACATTGGCAGCACACACTTCATCTGTTAATGGGTGTGCATTTAACGGTGTGGTGTGTGCAATTCGAATGGAATCGTGCACACATGCGCCCACCTGTGGCTTAGTTCACCAAGGAAAAAGCACGCAACTTGTGGCAGTCTTTTACCCAAAGTTGTGCATTTTAATCTGTTTACAGTGCACCAATACCGTGCCTTATAGGCTGCTGGAGCCTTGCCTACCGATCAGCTGCATTTTTACATTGCATTGGACTATTTGGCTCTCGTGTTTGCCATGGCATTGTCCCTGTGGCTTTATAGTAGAAGGCAGCGCCCTGTAAACCATTTTGCAGTCTCGTGACAGGTGAAGAAGGACCCCAAGACAGGCCAGTCAAAAGGATTTGGCTTCATCCGCTTCTCCAGCTACGAGTCCCAGGTGAGGGCCCTGTCCAAGCGGCATCTCATCGATGGCCGCTGGTGTGACGTCAAGATACCAAACTCCAAAGTGAGTGCTCAAGTAAGGCCACCTCCGCTCTTACTCTTTCTTTATTCATCCCATTTTGGCTGCTCATCACTCCACGGTGGGCAGGTATGATGTTCGGGGCTTTACCGTGCCTCTAGAGGCTGTTGCACTGAACAGGGCACTTCGGACGCACACGTGCACAGTCAATCAACCAGTCAATCAATCTTTCTTTTTTGGCATCAGAAATTTAGTACACTGCAAGTATATATGCAGGAGCAGGTTCCAAGGTAACAAACTACAGGCGGGATCTCCTATGTTAATACAAAGTAAAAGCTAAAATACGAATAACGAAAGAGCGAGTAACAAAGACATTTCAAAGTGTTTAGAGTCAAGCTGGCAAAAAAGAGAGAGAGAGAATGATCGTTTTTGCAGCTTTCTCTAAGCATATACATCAAAGCTATGCCAGGCAATAATGGCTGTTACACTTGCCACATTGCTGCTGTCAGAAGAGTGTACATGTATTATTGATAATGCCTGTGAAAACTAGGGGCTTTCTCTAAAACACTGGTTTGAGTAATCTTAGAGGGGTGTATCGAAGTTTGTTGCTTTACAAATTGTTCACCGCAGGAATTTCGTCTTCTTTCAAGTGAAAGTGAAATCGCGTGTTTCCCAGTCACTTCTTTTTCGTATTTCACGAGCAAAGGGGAACTTATGTTGCCACGACATTGAGGTTTTGCAAGCCTTGTAGCTGTGGTAAGGGCGCATGCCACTAAGATGTCGTAAGAAAGAAGAGGTACTATGAGAGGCTGTGTGCGATTGGCTGACCATTGCCCAAGCTAGGATACTACCGTAATTACTCGAATCTAACGCGCACCTTTTTTCCGGTTAAGCGAGTTCATAAATCGCATGTGCGTTAGAATCGAGTACGAAAAAAAAAATACGGTCATTCTATTGCCATCGGCATCCCAAAATGGCCGCCCCCTACGTGCGTCGGCATGACGCGTCGATCATTTCTGCCTATGGGTTTCGCATGTGCAGCACTTCGTACGTGTGCTGAGGAGTTCGTCATCTTGGTGTGCATTAGCATTGACGGCATAGAAGGGCCGACTCCAAAAACTCGACAAGCGCACCACGATGCCGCTTTTAAAAGAAAAGTCATCGCTTGTGCCGAAACGGACGTAAATTGGGCTGCATCGCGGTTGTTCGGAGTTCCCGAAACGTGCGTGCGGGACTGGCGGAAACAAAAGCAGGATATTGTCGACAGCAAAGATTCACGCAAAGGCTTCAGCGGACCACAGCAGGGTCGGTTTCCGCACATTTAAGAGCTGCTCGGCGAGTATGTGATTGAGCAGTGAGCGGCACAGCAGCCCGTGACGACAGAACTGCTCCAAGTGCAGGCTATGCAGTTAGCCTTAGAAAAAGGGCTAATGCGGAGCCAGTTTAAAGTGAGCAGGTGCTGGCTAACTAACTTTATGAAGAGGAAAGGCTTTTCCCTCTAAAGGCGAACGGGCATTCGCCAAAAAATGCCGGAGGAGTACGAAGAAAAGCTTCAGTTTTCAGAGGTTCGTCCTAAACTTGCGGCACAACAACGGCTCCCTGCTTGGGCAAATCAGGAATGCCGATCAGACGCCTCTTTACTTTGACATGCTTGGCACCACAATCGTCGAGAAAAAGTGGGCGAAGCAAGTTTGCGTGCTGGCTTCGGGCCACAGTATAACTAGAGTGACGGCAATGCTCCGTTGCACGTCAGATAGGCACAAGCTTCCCCCGTATCTCATATTTAAACGGAAGACGCTCCCGAAAGGAGTCTTTTTCCCTAGTGGTGTGACCGTGTGGGCCAACGAGAAAAATTGGTGCGCGTTGCAATCAATGTCTCACTTTCTTTTTTTTTTTCGTTGCGGAAACCCAGTGCGCATTGCAATCGAGGGTGCGGTAGAATCGAGTAAATACGGTACTGCATGCTTTGTGGATGGCAGGAGTTTTGTTGGCACACAGACTGTTACATTGATGCACACGGGAGTGCAGCACATCATTTTTTTTTTTTCAAGCGTTAGGCAGAAGTCTAGTGAAATAGTAAAAAAAGAAGTAACAACTTTAATATCTGATATAAAAAAAAAAATTTCATTTTCACAGTTTACATCTTTCAAGCAATTCTTGCTACCTGCCCGATCTCCTTCCCTGATGAGGCGACACTCTCGTTCACCACCTTCTCGACGATCCATGTCGCCTAGCTGCTACCCGACGTTTTCAGCTTCCATGGGTAACCAACCGGTCAGGGAGCCCAAGCAGGGGAAACTAAGAACAGCGACCTCTGAGGGTAGGGCCGCTAACAGGGGCATGGAATTTACAGCAGGGCTTACCAAAGATATCATGCAGCTCAGTGGTACCACTCACCGTAAAGCAATGGCTTACCATCCCCAGACAAATGGGCTCACAGAGCAACTAAACAGAACGATAGCAGATATGATTTCCATGTACATCGACATTAACCATAAAAACTGGGCGACGTTCTTCCATACGTTATCTTTACGTATAATGCCGCCACACAAGAAACTATCGGCTTCACCCCTTTCAACTTGCTGCATGGCGGGGAAGCTGTAACAAGATTGGATGCGTTGCTGTTACCCACTGACCGTTCCAATGTTGACAGTGATGCTTCTGTATTCGCTAGACACGTCAAAGCACGCCAGCTCTCATGAATGCATATCCGCTGTACCGATCCGAAGTCTTGTGTGGTTTTGTCCGCAACAATATTTACAGTAAAAGCTCGTTAATTCGAATTCCACGTGAACGCTGAGCAATTTCGAATTAAACAAAATTCGAAATAATGAAAGTGAGCAAAAATGGGTGGATTTCGGGGGTGGGGCACGAAAAATATTTATTGGCCAAAAAAGTCGGTGATGACCATCTGCTTCTTTTCTCTGAATGCCACAGCTGCGGCTCTCTGTTCTAGCGCGCGGACGCGCTAGAACAGAGAGCCTCTTCACCCTCTTCAAAGCTGAAGAAGAGACGCTCCACATTAAGTGCCTCCATCACCGCAGAAGCTGACGGGCGCACAGGCGCTTCGTCATTTTCGTCTTCCTCACCTTCTGGCTCTTCAGCATCAGGCTGCGCACCGGCTACTTGAGCGATAATGTCCTCATCAGTCAGGGCACCACACACCGATGCACCGTTGTCAACTTCAACATAATCGGCAAAATGTACGCCCCGAAGAGTGTCGCGCAATGCCACTGGCATGAGCTCCTCAGCCCCATCCACGTCGACGTCACAACTATCCTGCGCACTTCCAGCTGCAAATCCACTGTGGCGGAAACAGTTTGCGATTGTGGTCGCGGTCACCTGTTCCCATACGCGCACCAACATGTGCATAGCAGTGAGCAGCGTAATGCCGAAGTCCTTCCTGTCGCCCGCGCACAAAATCATTCGTGAACGAACAACGTGCTCGAGGAACAAAGTGACGCTGCCGGGAGCGGCCTAGGACTGCTAGGACTACTCCGCCGACTCCTCAGCGTCCCGTGGGTCCCGCGTACAAGTGGCGCCAGGCGCTGAAATAGCGGGAGGGCTACGAAAAAAAAAATTGCTCCCTGAATTTTGGAGGCCATACTTTGCTCGCCCTTTGCTCGGAGGCCACTTGAAGCTCGAAAAAAACTGGTCGTGCCACCTATAGTTCGACCGTAAAAGCTTGTGGGAATTGAGGCTGGCCCGCTGCCTTTAAGCGGGCTTTCCCGCCTTTTCTGCCGTTCTCATGTCCCGACATGTCTGCCCTCCGTTGCTGTCTGCCGCGCTGAGAGAGCGGAGTGACGTTTAACTCCCTCACCCGGTAGCGGATGTTGACGGTGGCGCCGCGCGCGGGGACTCCCAAGAGAGGTTTTCGCGCGCTGCGTCGGGGGCGGTCAGATACTCTCCGGGACAGCAAACGGTGAGCCACGCTATCTTTTCGTCCGTCGACTCCCGTCAGTCGGGGCTCGTCGGACTTCGCTGACGGCGCCTCGCGCCCGATGCGAACGCTCACCTTTTGTTGCCCCGCTGCGTACTCACGGCCGAAGGGCAGTACGGTGTCCTAGTGCGTGGCCTAGCTACGCCGACCCGTCTCCCTTCGAAGCCAGCGCGAGCGCCTTTGCCCTCGCTCGAGCAACCGGGCCCTTTGTCCCGGTGTCTCCGTGGATCACCTTTACCGCGGAGACGTGCTCGTGGCACCCTGTGTAGTACTTTGTGCCCGTGGCGTGGATAAGCCTATTTGCTTTCCCGCCGCGCCTTTTTTGCAACGGGCTGTACTGCGTTTGGTGTTGCCACAATAAAGTGTTGCGACTTGAGCAGTATCGTGTTTCCCGCCACGGCGACGGTTAACGCGTGCCCTGCGGCTCGCTAAGACCGGACCCACGCTGGTGGCCGTACTCCTTCGGGATACGTGTACACCACACTGGCGCCCAACGCGGTATCAAAAGCTCTAGCTTTTGACTGCTCTTAGCGAGTCAGTTCGCCTGCGCGATTCGGGCTCGTCGCAACATGGCTGCTTCGCGGGACTTGTCCGCTGTCCCTTTTAGCGGATGCCGCGTTGCACACGGAGGCCATTGCCTCTATTGACGGGAACCCTTCTGCACCCGTCCGTGTCGGCACCCCCTATTGCGGTGACGACACGAGGCGCCTAGCCGCTCCCTTTGGAGATGGCGCGTCGCTTCGGAATGGGCCTCTTGCCCTACCCGAACGTTATGTCTGCTTCGTGGCATGCCGCGTTGCACCAAGAGGCCACCGCCTCTATCGACGGGCGCGCTTCGGCGCTCGCCTGTGTCGTCACCCCTTTTTGTGGTGAATACACTCCTACGTGGTAGCTGACGCGCTATCTCGTGCCCCCTGTTGTCTGCCGAGAACCTGGATTTCGGCGCGACGGCCGCTCGCGGTGCCTTAGCACATGCAAGCGTCGGGGGCGAAACAGCAGCTTCGCCGCCATTCGGCGTGAAGGGTGAGTCCCCATGCGGACAAACCTTGGCTGCTAACCAGGTAAGCGGCGCACCGCGAAGCGGCCGAGCGGGGGAGCTTTCCGAAGGCCATGAGGCCGAGAGCGAACCCGTAACGCCGACTCACGCGGCGGTTGCTGCGGCCCTGAGTGGGCGCGATACCAGACTCCCCCATTTGGGAGAATGGGAATTGCTTTCGGCAGCGAAGAGCTACTGAAGGCTCAGCAGAGTGATCCGTTTCGAGTCTCGGAGGGACGGAGCGCCGTATACGCTGCTTGCTTTGCGGCGGGCGCCGTTAAACCGTCTTGAGAGGCGCGCCGTTACGCTGCTTGTTCTGCGGCGGGCGCTATTAGGGGGCTGAAACAGCGTGTGTCGCTGAGTCCCCGGCGGATTCATTTTGCTGGACCATGACGGGCTCCTGCTGAACTATATAGCCACTGACGACGAGTCCATAGACCCGTTTAAGGTGGTTATGCCCAAAAGTCTGAGAGCCGCACTGTTGCGATCCTCTCACGACGAACCCATGGCCGGTCACCTGAGTGGCTCGAAAGTTTTTGCAAACTGAGCAATGTTGTGACCTGGCCCGGCACGAAGCGTGGCTTTTATCGCTATTCCGTGCCTGCCACGTCTGACAAACGGTTGAGCCAAGGGTTGGAAAGCCGCCCGGTCTTATGAACCGATTGTCAGTGAGCGTCCGTGGCGCGTACTAGCTGAAGGATCCCCTTTGGGAAAACTCAGCCGTGCCCACATCGCAGACCTGAAGCCCTTTGTCATGGTCTGACGAGCTTGCGCCAGTGCCCTGCGGCACTTCGCGCAAGCAACGGGCACACCCGGAGCGGCGGACCGCATTCGGACCCCGCACCGGTATAATCTGAGGAAGCGGTCACCTTTGTGATTTCGCGCCGGACGGCGGACTTCTCCGCAACCGAAGGCCCTCAGTTTACTGTCTAGCCTCAGTATCGGTTAGCTTCTTTACGGCCTTTTCTCGTAAAGAAGTTGACCCCGCCGTGTCTGCTGCCAGTGTTTCTTTTTTTTTTCAAGTGCTCATGTGTATTTTCTGTTTCTTTTTGTCTAATATTAAGTGTTATTTGTGTTTTATGTTTTTCGCCAGATGTTGAGTGTAGTTTTGCTCTGTTTTTACTTTTTTTTTTCGTATTCGTTTCGTCTACCGCGAAGGGAGCTGTGTGTGACCTTGTGTGTCGGTGCTTGCCGGGAGAGAGAGAGACGAAGGACGCTTTGCGCCTACGCTCGCGCAGCTGTCGGCGGTGTGTGTGCGTGCGTGCTTCCGTGCGTGTGTAAGTGCGTGACGCTTCGGTGCGAGCCCGCGAAGAGTGCGTCATGGCTTCCCCCCATCGATGCGGACGCTGGAGGTGCTGGGGGTCGTTGACCCACTGACGTCAGACTGTCTGGCTGTGCTCTGCTCTCGGCCGTCGCCGAAGAAGCCACGCTGCCTTTACCACCATGGCTCCTGCGCGAGGCCAGCTGAAAGCAGCTATATGCTGCCGGCCAACGCCGGGGCGCCTCGCAGCCAATTTTGGTTCAGCCTCCCTGACCACTGGAGAGGCCCGGCTTCCTGCAACGTTCCAGCTTCATCATCGAGCCAGAAATGCGGGGGCCTCCGAAGCACAGCCGAGGCAGCGTTCGTCGGACTCGCTGCTTATCAAGACCAGCAACGAGCCATCAGTGAGCCCCCCGTCCCGTACCTCTGACCTCGCACTCGGGCATCGCACCCAGCGGACACTGTCACGCCTTTACCGCCCCTCCGCGCACTGGACGCTATCCCCCTTCAGCACCACGAACACTAGTGCCACGTTGCTGTGCTCCCTTCTGCAGTTATTTGTATAGTGTCATGTGTTTATTTTGTTATTTATGTTTTGTTTCTCCTTGTAATCATTTTTTAGCAGCAGTAGCAGGGCTGGACTGAGGTTAGCTGTCGCTTATAGCAGTGTAATTTTAACTGCATGGGTGACGCCCGGCTGCCTTTTGCAGACCGGTAAAGGGCAAATTTAGGAGAGGGGGATGTGGGAATTGAGGCTGGCCCGCTGCCTTTAAGCGGGCTTTCCCGCCTTTTCTGCCGTTCTCATGTCCCGACATGTCTGCCCTCCGTTGCTGTCTGCCGCGCTGAGAGAGCGGAGTGACGTTTAACTCCCTCACCCGGTAGCGGATGTTGACGGTGGCGCCGCGCGCGGGGACTCCCAAGAGAGGTTTTCGCGCGCTGCGTCGGGGGCGGTCAGATACTCTCCGGGACAGCAAACGGTGAGCCACGCTATCTTTTCGTCCGTCGACTCCCGTCAGTCGGGGCTCGTCGGACTTCGCTGACGGCGCCTCGCGCCCGATGCGAACGCTCACCTTTTGTTGCCCCGCTGCGTACTCACGGCCGAAGGGCAGTACGGTGTCCTAGTGCGTGGCCTAGCTACGCCGACCCGTCTCCCTTCGAAGCCAGCGCGAGCGCCTTTGCCCTCGCTCGAGCAACCGGGCCCTTTGTCCCGGTGTCTCCGTGGATCACCTTTACCGCGGAGACGTGCTCGTGGCACCCTGTGTAGTACTTTGTGCCCGTGGCGTGGATAAGCCTATTTGCTTTCCCGCCGCGCCTTTTTTGCAACGGGCTGTACTGCGTTTGGTGTTGCCACAATAAAGTGTTGCGACTTGAGCAGTATCGTGTTTCCCGCCACGGCGACGGTTAACGCGTGCCCTGCGGCTCGCTAAGACCGGACCCACGCTGGTGGCCGTACTCCTTCGGGATACGTGTACACCACAAGCTTCCACTAGTGTTTGACGATGATGACGCTCAGCGGCGCGCGCTTCGAATTATCCGTAGAGGCAGCAATTTCTGTTCGAATTAACGAATCGTTTTACACATGGTCTCCTATGCACTGCGGACCGGACTGCGGCGACCATTTCGAATTATCCAAAATTTCGAATTAATGAGGTGTGAATTAACGAGCTTTCACTGTATTACTCATTTTGCTCAGAGCTGCACACACAGAAGCCTACCTGACCACTAATGTGCTGTTAGCACGTTGGGCACACAAGGCACAAGCTAAATGTTGGCGGCATAATGCCACCTGGCTGTGTCACCTTGTTTTAGCTTTGCTAGCATTAATTCCCATGAATGTTTGTTACACAGACACCTTATTGAGCATTAAGAGGTAAGACCCACCAAGCGCTAGGAAATTTTCTCAGCAGTTTTAACTCATCTACAAAGACGTGTGGCATCTGAGTTTGTGTTTGGTATTGTCTTGTACAGATAATTGAAATATCAATTGTGACATGACCAATTTCTGGTATGCAGGATGGCCAGGCATCGGAGCTCAGCCGCAAGGTGTTCGTGGGCCGCTGCACTGAGGACCTGAGCTCTGACGATCTACGTGACTACTTCTCCAAGTATGGCGAGGTGACAGATGTGTTTATCCCCAAGCCATTCCGTGCGTTTGCTTTTGTCACCTTCGTCGACCCAGACGTGGCACAATCACTGTGCGGTGAGGACCACATCATTCGCGGCACCAGCATTCATGTCAGCAACGCGGTGCCGAAGAGCGAGGCGGCACCTTCGTCGCACCACCATGCTCTGGGACCACTCGCAGGCGGCGGTGGAGGGGCAGGCGGGGGAGCTGGGGGGAGGGGACCCGGGACTGGCCCCGCCCACAGGGGTGGGCCTCTCGATGTGGGTCGGTCCGCTGGTCAGGGTGCTGCATATGCGGCACCGGGGCCCTTCCCGGGCGCGCACCATCTGGCACCCCATGGTGGCTGGGGCCATCAGGCAGCCGGGGGAGCACATCGCGGCGCAGACTTGCCAAACCTCTTAGGTGGCAGCTTGGGCATGGGGCCCCTTGGTGCTGCACAGGCACAAGCCACGCCTCCGCAGGGTGTGAACACTACTCCTCCCACGTTGGGCATGGGCGCGCTCAACTTGGGCGCCGCAACACTGCCCCTCAGTTCTGCCGTTGTAGCAGCCCTGGGGCAGGCGGCAGGCTTTGGGCTCTTCGGGGGGTCGTTCCAGGGGGGCGCGGGGGACCAGGGTCCCGGAGGACCCCCACCGCCTAACTCAGGTGCTGGCGGGTCGGGCTCCTTCTTGGGCTGGATGGGACAAGGAGGAGCCGGACAGGCAGGCGGCTCTGCCGATGCCGGGGCGGGCCAAGGTGGACCCTGGCCCCAGCGCGAGGGCAAGCAGGGCTTCGGCATGTCCGTCTCCCCCTGAGCATCTGTGCTCGCTGGGGGACCGTTTGGTCTGCCCGCTCTCTGGTGGCACTGGTGTACTCTTGGGGCCGTCCCCTGTCATATCTTATTGGTCTCGCGATTGGTTCGAGGCATAGAATGTGGCGACTTGTAGAGGGCGCCACCATAGCCACATATGCTTCTGGGTGCCACGTGAGTATGTTGGCACAATTGGTACGATCAAAGTGAAATGCATTTTTTGATTGCTGTTTTTCGTGGCTGCCCGAGTGCACCGGTGCGGCCGCCCCAGGGAGATTGTAACTGGAAGAGTCCTTATCACACACTGGCTTGTACTGGCGGGAGGAGTCGGCTGCAGTGAGTGTTGGTGTTGGAGGTGCGGGTTAGGAGGAGGGAGGTGGCGCGGCCGCCAGCAGCTCCGTCCGGGTGTCGTGTGGTATGTCTGGCCTGTGCGTGTGGGTGTGTCTGGTGGTTCGCGTGGGCCTCTGCCGGCCTCCCTCCTCCTTCTGGGCAGATGCATTACAAGTGTGTGGGCCTACGAGGACAAAAGCCCGTGCGAATGTCACGTGTATTTAAAGCGTGCATGGTGCGTGTCTGGAGGAGTCTCTCTCTTGCCACTGCTGTCTCTTTCTCTTCTGCTGTACATAAACCTGTATATTTCTAAAGCGAATTGTTCTGTGCATAGACGCATGCATGAGGTGGGATTCTGGAGATGTGAGGGCCATCGACTGCTCATGGTATCTGAGGCTTGGCATGGATTAGCCCTTACCTTACACATTACAGCTTCTTTCTTTTGGACAAGTGTGGTACGATGATAGTAACTTTGAGTGAAGGGTCAAGGCAGAATGCTTTTTTTACAGTGAATTTTTGCGTGTGCTTGTCTGGGCTGCCAGGAATTTTCTATGAGTACTTAGCCACAGGCACCATGAGCATTCAAGCCTCTTGTTAACTACAGTGACTTGCACGCACAAAGTTGTTGCTGCATTGCATTTTTCGAGCCCATAGAAATGCTTTTCTGGAATAGCACAGCTGCCACTGTAAGGCCCCAAGCAATTGTGAGAGCCTCAGTTAAGATGATCGCACGCTGAATCGAGCAAATTGTTTTGCAATGCACAACTGTGTGAGTGCATTTTCAGAGCATTAATCGAGTACGAGTGCATTCTCGAGTGCAAAGAAGTAATTACAGGGCGTCTTCATCTGGGCTAGTGTTGCTCCTCTGATGGTGGGCACACATGGGGTTGCATTTCATCTGCAATTTCGGTATGTGACGTGGCGAGCCAGCCTTCCTCTCGAGGTGACTCGTCTTTCCTGGGCTTTCTCTCGCTTCCTATGCCCATCTGCGATCCCAAACGGGAGTTTATACTCGTGAGACAACTTGCTGTGTGCTATGTAGAGATAGCTGGCGTTTGCTTAGATAGGTTTGTGAAGAACTTGTTTCATTGCTATTGGCTTCCCCATCTAGCCGAGCGGGTAGCTCTCTCGTCTTCCTTTCAGGGACAAGAATGCGTCGATACTTTTTGTGGCCAGTAGTACTTTCAATTAACATTATGCAGCAGGATTTTGCTGCACATTGGTTAGGGATTATCGGTGTCTGGAACAGTGGCAGCCTGATGTTCTCCCTGGCGGGCTGCTCGCGTAGAGTCTTCGTTTGTTTGACTGACCAAAGCTTCTGTTAATTTGTTCCGGACACCACCGCCTTCATAGCCTTCACGTGCACGCGTTCGGCTCGCACTTCTTTCACTGCTGGCTCGTACCGTTAATGCAGCATATAGTGCCGGTTACTCTGTCATTTACTTCTTTTTTGCACACTTGACAGGGGAAAAATAATACGCCTAGTTGCCACTGCACTGTAAGGCAGACATTCTGACAATTGCCGCTGGGATGTGCAAGAAACGTAGTGCGAGTTTGTATCTGGTTGGATGCTTTCGGTACTGGTGAAAGGCAACCACACTTCATTGTAAATCCATTTGCACATCTCCATTGCATGGGGAAACGCCTGGCCATTGTTACCCAGCACTTGTGTTCGTGTCAAAGCCTAGTTGGCTGGCCACTGCTGTGGGGAAATGCCATTCACTTCGCAGGGAACTTGCTTGTAGTAGTGGGTGCATGGCAGCTGTAAGTCGTTGATAGTTTGGCTACCGCAAGCAGCTTTCGAGTGTGGGCTGGTTTCTCTTGCCGGTGTTCAATCCTCCTATCTATGTTGCACTGTCTCTGACAAGGCACGGCTCTGAGCACAATGTTTGACCCTCTTGTCCATTCGTTGCACCTCCGCTGCAAAGCCGCACTTACTATAATTAATGCTTGAGCCTCGCAGGTGCATTTTTTTCTTTTTGTAATTGGGATGGGAAAGGATATGAAAGAAGCATTTTCGGAGCTTCCAGGCAAGCTGATGCTTGAGAGAAGAAAGCGCTTCACCTACGAAGGGGAATGCATTGCGGATATATGCTGCTTGCTTTTATGCCCCTCTTTATCAGTACTCCGCAGTCTCCTCTGATACAAAGTACCTGTACATGTTTGCGGCTATTCTGCTGCCCTGATATTTGCGATAACATCTGCGCCTTTCTTAAGGGGCATTAAAACTGTATTGCCGTTGAATGCTTCCCATTCCTATGCTGAGGAAGCTTAAATTAGTTGCACGTGGTGAATTCCTACAAATTTGAAAAGAAAGAAAAAGAAGGTAATTTCAGTGCCAGGTGTGTTGTGTTCTCGAGGTGCAGTGCAACAAAACCGTTAACCTAGACTTTCTCCACGGTTATACTGTCGACACTGTGTCCACAAGTGAGGCCAAAGTTGGCCACTTAAATGCCGTTAGTCCTTCTGCTTCATTGGGCTTGAGAGAAGTGAAATTTCTCTGATTAAATAGCTTCGATTGCAGTATTCCATTTCACAGCCCCGTGTGAATCTGCAGAGCTTTAGGCCTGAGTGATTCAGTGACTCGGGCTGGAGTATTTGTGTCTTTTTTGGTTTTTCAGATATTAAGTCCTCAAGGTCAAAGTGCAAAGGGCACTTTTTTTTTTGGGATGTCAGCCCCTGCCAAATGACATCTCGCCTGAAAGTTGTGCATCGTTCATCTCGCACAATCTTGAAAAAAAGAATGTATGTAACATAATTTATTCATAACTGCGATAGCGCTATTTGCACTTAATGACATCTCATCTCACACAAAAATGGCTTTTTGCCATTCTCGAGAGATTGTCGTGCGTTGTGGTCGCTCAAACAAGATGCATGTCCAATACTGCCGACGAGCCTCAGAATTCTTCCGATCAGGTCGTTGGTTGTAAGGTAGAGGCGTGACACGGTGTATTCTCGAGATTGCTGCATGTGACATTTGTACATAACGGTACACCTGTGCAGTCCATACTGTTTGTTAACGTAGCAGTAGCTAGCTCAGCTTTGCACAGGAGAAACCACCATCAGCCATTGTCTCGATGAATGGAACAGAGAGGGTGCGGCTACCGGTTTTGCCTATGCCAGCTGCTGTCTACATAGTGTCAACTGGTGTACCTGTGGCTGGATTTTCAACAAAATTGTATCAAAAACAAAGTTCCGAATAGGTTTGCACGCAATGCGAGAGACTGTACCTGTCACAGCTTGTACTTGATGGCAGGGACACATAGGCATCTATGTTAGCCTGATTGCCAGTCTCAATAGGTCTCAAAAACATGTTTTTGATGTTTAAGAAAGTTAATCCTTCTGGCACTGGCATGTAACTAAATCGGAATTGCTGTTGGCTACAAAATATTGATCTAAGGAACCTTGGTCGTCATCTGCGTTAAAAAATTTCCCTAAATCGTGGTATATAGAGCCTAGGTTGTTATCTGCAAATCAGCATTAAAATACGGAACCTTCGCTGTTATCAGCGGACAAGTATCTGAATATACGGAATTTTGATCTACAATACCTTGGTCGTCTGCAGAACATTGCAACAGCCGAGGCCTCAGCAACTGATGCACACTCATTGTAGCTGGCACAGCTCAGCTGGTAGTCCCCACCCCTTGCTTCCAACACCCGGCCGTTTTAACGTGAGAACCCAAACATGCTTCGATTGGGTCGTCATCGTCAGTTAGCTGTCTTTAGTGGAGTTGGGTGTTTGATGTGGTTGCCCTCTTCTGCTATTGTTTGTTTCTTACCATGACTTTTTTAAATGAGTGGTGCACCCTCTTGTGGATGGGTACATAACATGGCGATTGTAATCTTTTTCTTTTTGTCATCCTTCTTCTCCCCTATATATATTTTTTAATGCTCTTTAGTGTGCCTGATGATATCCGTTGTTTGGAAAAACCAGCACACTTCACAGAAATGACAGTTGCATCTTTGAGAGTAAATTGACGGGTGTGTAGACTGTGTGTGCTGTGTGCAGTTGGAGAGGAAAAAAAAACTTTATTGTGGTGACGCTGTTTATATCGTTATAGTAGACTTCCTTCTTGGGGTTCTGTTTTGTAACTTCCTTTTTAAAGAGAGGTGTGTGCACGTGGTTTGATTAACTTTATCCAATGAGCTGTGGCGCTTTTAGCACAAAATGACTCGTGGCAAGTTTCGCATTGCGTTGGCTGGCGTGGCTGGCTGGCAATTTCCCGACGCTCCCCATTTAGGTGATGTAAATTTGGACATGCGAAGTGAAAGATTCGTGTGTAGGTATGCTCAAGAAATGTTGATTGAATGCGAGAGGAGCACAATGAAATGAATGAGTGTTTGAGGAGAAAAACGTGTTGACCACCTTCGAAACTTTTTTTTTTCTTTTATAGTGCCTCGTGGCTAATGTGATGGTGTTTTGTGGTGGTCATAGTCCAGGCGAGAATAACTGTAAATGCTTTGTTTGTCCAGTGAACATGCTTTTTTTTTTTTTTTTTTTTGCGAACGAGAGCGCGAGTGCCCAACGTACCTAGTCCTAAACCAGACTCTCTGGACAGTGTGACATTTGTATTACTTGAAAGTGCAAATCTGGCTGGCCTTGCTGTGTGAAACGAGCCTGGGAAATTGCTAGCCACATTGGTCAGAGTAGCGCCCTCTTTTGCTATTTTTTTCCTCACCCATTTGGGATTCTGCTGTTCGATTTCATTCGTTGCACCAAGACAGACACATTCGTGATTGCGCTCGAACTCATGTAAAGTAGTGCTCTTCAAACAACTGGGCTTTTTGTATTAGACATCGGCAATAACCGCAGCATGACGGATCCTGCTGGATGCGCTGCTATAATGCATTATCATTATGACTAAGCCTGACACAAGGCGGATGATGTATTTAATGATACCTTTGTTATTTTGGGAGGGCCGATACACGGTCACTATAATGCACCATCGTTTCTCTGCGAGAGGCTGCTACGGTTAATGATGCCATTGCCTGACCAGTGTTTAAACACCCAAGCTTGAGGAGCTCTGTACATTCCTAGAGGTACTCTTGCCTTCACAGTGTGTATACTTGCCAGTAAGCATGTAGAACAAGAGCAGCAGTGATGCAGCCTGTTTCTCTTTGTAGTAGGAGTGCGTGTGTGTGTGCTTTTTTTTCTCTCCCTTTTTCTTGCTCTCGATGGTCTTGGTGTAAAGTGAGTGTGCACAAAAGAAGAAAAAACAGAGATGCGTATTGCCTTTAGTTAATCATTGCTGTGGGTGGAGTGCGTGTGTGATGCATGTTGTGTATGATGTGTGTTGCGGCAAACAGGAAACAAATAAAAGCCGTTTCTATATCGGACAGCCCTTTTGTTGTGCGTGTATGTGTGTGTGATGTGGACGAATGCAAGATGCCTTTGGTTGGTGTGTGTGGCCTGGACATCTAGAATCCAACAAGCAGGGTCATTTCTTGTCCACTCTTTTCCGAAGGCACGTTAACGCACAACTCCGAGCAGAAATTTCAAGTTGAGGTTAGCCAGGGCGACAACCGCACCTCCTTTTTTATTAAACCTTCTCAGCAACCTCAGGGGCCACGGCGTAATGCTAAGCACATGGTTGCGGGGTCGATTCCATTCTTCATTGACCACACCTCTGTGGGGCGAAAAGCAATAACTACAATGTTCAAGGGCCAAAGTGTGTGGTGAATAACCATAGGAGGTCGCAGTCCTCCTTGTTTACTGAAACAGTGCATGCGCCCTAGTGGTAAGGTCTCAAAACATGTTGGTATTGTCACCGCAAATCACTCCATTCCGGAAGCTCTTGCGATTGTGTATGCACACGTGCACTGCTTCAAACGATGCTGCGTATCGTTTTATAGAAAACATGTCTTTGTCTTACCGACAATGCACGCATGTGTGTGCATGCAACAGAAGGCACAATTTAACAGAACAGCAAGTGGTGTGAACATCATTTAAGTTAGCTTGAGTGATGTTTCGTAACAAAGTTTAACGTTTCTGATGGATATTTGCAACTGCCTGGGCTTCATCTTGTGCTGTCAGCACATGCCTGACTTTTTGTACCTATTTATAGATGGCTACTCCAGAAAGGTGCCAATAGCAATAGACAGTTCAGCAGGAGTCGGTGGTTTGAAGATAGTACAATCAGTGCTTCAAATTTCAAGAGCACTTAGGCACGACTCATATTGGGGAGCGGCAACTAAACACATTTGCACAAATTAGTGCCTATTATTAAGGTGCTGCATTGTATACCATTGCTTTGCTATTTAATATCATTGCACTTCAAGCAAACAATGAGCTGTAAGTATACATAGACGAAAACACTGAACTGGTTAATGAATACTCGGAGCGGCAAAGCTGGGCATGTAATATTGTCACGATGTCAAAGCAGAGGTCTTGCCCCAGAAATCGAGATACTATAAGCAGGTCGGTCTCTTGTTTATTAGAACGTGTAAGCGAGCTCTTCGTATCTTCAATAGTAATTCTTAGCCCATGCAAAAGTAGGTACCATCGTCTTTCTTGCCGCTAACACGCGACACTTGCTTCTCTCCAAAAGAGGCATTGTCCCAATGCACAACTTAGGCACTCCTACCAGGCGTATTGAGTGGTTGCACCAACACGGTAACCGGGAGCTAACTAGCTAAATACAGTTTCATACGCTCTACGGGCACCACATCTGATAAATGCTTTCGGCGCTTGGAAGTATAATCACTGTTGGGAACAACCTCGTAGTTCAACTCGTTCAGGCAACGCATGACCCTGTAGGGGCCAAATTACCGTCTTAGCAGTTCTTCAGACAGTCCATGTGAACGTATCGGAATCGGAAACCTAGACCTTGTCGCTTGGTGTGTAGCTAATGAACTTGTGTCGGGGGTTGTACTGTTGTGCATCTTGGTGCTGCTGATGACAGATGCGCACGCGAGCTGTCTAGCTTCCTTGGCGCACTGAGTGAATTCTTTAGTGTCTACATGAATGTCGTCACACTCATGCGGCAACATAGCGTCCAACGTTGTCATGACTTCAGGCTTCGTCATTCCGTTTGTCTGCGGACAGTATGCAGTTGTTCTCCGGTGAGCTGAGTCTGAGAACCGACTCCAAAAGCTCTGCGGTGAAGCCAGGTTCCCTGTCTGTGATCGCTGCTTCTGGAGTGCCATGCCGAAGGACGATGTTTTCGATGAAGAACTGAGCGGTTTCTGCTGCTGTGCCACGCTGCATAGCTTTAGTCTCTACATAACGAGAGAGGTAATCAGTGGCCACACTAATCCATCTGTTCCCTGTGGTGGACGAACGGCTTTGCTGTTGTTTCGACTGGATGTAAAAGACAGACTGGCTTGCTGGGAGGCACTTTGCATCTTGGGCAGTCAGTGCAAGTTTGCACGTGATGTTTAACAGCAGCAGATAGCTTTGGCCAGCAGTACTTGCACCGCAGTCAGCACAATGTTCGGGTGTAGCCTAGGGGACCAGAAGTGGCTTCATCATGGCACGCATCCTTAATTTCTTTTCGAAGGGATGTAGGCACGATGACCAAGTGTGTTGCCGTTTGGAGATAAGTTTTTCTTATAGAAAATATCATTCCATAAGCAAAAAGATGGCAGTCCTCTAGCAAATAACTGTGGCACATCTTTACGTCGTCCTCCTAAATAATCAATGAGTGGTAACAGCTCGGGGCTACTGTGCTGCTCTTGTGCAATAGTGGCCGTGTTGTCAACTCCAATGTTTTCGTCGTCAGGAGCGAAAGGCTCGACTGGTGACCGTCAGAGACAGCCGGCGTCGGTGTGCCTCTCCCCAGATTTATAGACGATGGTCATGTCGAACTCTTGAAGCCTTAGACTCCAGCGCGCCAAACGACTGGATCTTTAAGGTTGGTGAGCTAGCAGAGAGAGTGATGGTCGCTAACAACCTTGAATGAGTGACCATACAAATCCGGACAAAACTTTATGACCATACCACACCCACAGCGCGGCACTCCTCAGTAGTTCTCAGGGAGAGAGTTCTGCTCATATAGGCTATTACTTTTTCACAACCGTCTTGCTACTGCGCCAGAACGGCACCCAGACCTACATTGCTAGCATCAGTGTGAAGCTTTAGGGACTTCCTGGTCAAAGTACACAAGGACAGGGAGGTGTTTGCAGGCGTTGCCGTAGTTCATTGAATGCCATTTGTTCATGTTCACCCCAAAGAAAGGGGACGTCCTCGCATGTGAGTCGTGTCAATGGTGCCGCGATAGACAAAAAGTACGATAAATCGTCAGTAATAGGAGCATAGTCATAAGAAGCGCCTCTCGGTCTTATTGTCGTGTGGTGCAGGGAATCGCGCTACATGCGTCCTATTTTGGCTGGGTCAGGTCGAACGCCCTTGTGACTGACGACGTGGCCTAGAGCTGAGTTTAATGAAACCAAAATGACATTTTTCCGGTTTAAAGTAAGGCCGGCCGAACGTATGGCGTGGAGGACGGTGATTAAACGGCTGAGATGTTCCTCGAATGTTGCCAAGAATGCAATAACATTGTCCGGGTAGACCAAGCATGTTTGCCACTTCAGGCCTGATAGCATGGTGTCCATGAGATGCTGAAAAGTGGCTGCTGCGAGCACAACCCAAAAGGAAGCACCTTAAATTCGTAAAGGCCATCAGGCGCACAAAGGCCGTTTTTTTTTGTTTCAAGATCTCGCTCATTGACTTATATTTGCCAATAGCCACTTTGTAGATCCCCTGATGAGAAATAGTGCGCATGGCGCAGCCTATCAAGCGAATCATCTATGCGAGGCAGTGGACAGACATCTTTCTTTGTGACTTTGTTCAACTTGCGGTAATCCATGCAAAAGTGCAAGCTGCCATTTTTTTTTTCTTGACCAGAACCACGGGAGACGTCCAAGGACTTAGCAAAGGTTGTATGACATCATCTTCGAGCATCTTCTGTACTTGCTTCTGAATCTCCTCGCTTTCTTTTGGAGCCACACGATAGGGATTCTACCGAATCGGTCAGCGTGTTGTCTTCAGTAATGATGCGGTGCTCGGTCAATGGTGTTTGCTGGACCTTTGACTTGCACAAAAAGCAGTCTTTGAATTGGCGTATCGGTTCAAGCAGGCGCATCCTATCAGAGGGCCGCAGCATAGAGCACATGTCCACTGACTAATTCGTCGAGGCAGAGACAGTCACGTCGACCGGTTGCAAGGCAGAACAATCCCCGGCTTGGTCTACATCATCGTAGCAGGCAATGGCGATGCCCTTCTGGATTTGACAGCACTCGTTGCTGACAATATTTCAGTTAGCATTTAAAGAGATTGTGGCGAAACATCCATTTCCGGTGCTGGAAGCATAGACTTTCAGCGAAAAATTCGTTTTCGGTTGTTGTGTCGACACCCTACCGAAACGGCAGTGAGCAGGCACAAAAATGTGAGGGGCTTGTGTTCCACCTGAATAAATGAGAAGCCAAAGAGTGCCCGCGATCCAGTGCTGTTTAATGTTGCCACTTGAGCTGATGTTGAAAACTAATGACAATGAGTAGTGGTGCAATCATCGTTTGGGAATGCGTCTGTTCGTTCCAACAAAGGTGGACCAGGGAAAGAGGAGGAGGGCGTCCGTTGCTGTAGGGATGTCTCGGATCCTGGAACTGGCGACAAAAACTGGAAACTAGCGTTTACACACGTTATGTCCTAGTTGGCGTGAGGCCTGTGTCGCAGAAATTCCGCTGCTGGTCATTGGCGTTGACGCTGTCTCGTACCACTTCTAAAGCTGAAGCTTGAGCAATTTTCCAGTTTTCTTGCAGAGACGTGAACTGTCTAGACAAGGGCTAAAAAAATCCGCACATCTCCACGAAGTGGACCACGATGAGCGTTTGACGCTCTTGGTGGGTAACCGTATGTTACGTAAGCGTTGGTCCATATAATGTAAATTGAGTAAAGTAATGTGTACATAGAAGCGTAAATTCATTTTACTTTCCAGTCGTCCTAAGCTGTCCGAGGAGAACTAAGAAAATTGTTGAAGTAGAGAATATACCTTGAAAGTGAATTCAAGTAGCCACCATCTTACTAATGGCAGGATACCATTTTAATATGGTTAATGTTAAAACATATAGTGCTTGCTGTGTGCCTTTGCTTCTGTGTGCCTTTGCTTTGACAGGTTTCACAAATCAACGGTAGCCGCTTCGGCAGAAGCAAGTTTCCGAGCTGTCTAACGCCTTCTAATTGGGCATCTGCAAGCCTGAAGTCGTGCTCGGAGCTTCTCGCCCAGTGGTTGAGAATTGTTGGTGGCTTTTAAGAACCGCCCTATGTGCTGGAAATGCGAGAAATAAACACAAAGATGGATGATATGCACAACCGGCGAACACCTTAAGGTAGGGCAGATGC